CTTGCCAAGTTATGAAGAACGGTGGCGGCGCCTCAACATGATGACTTTGAGAAAGAGACGTTTCATGGCGGACCTTGTTTTTTGCTTTCGGCTCCTACGTATGGAAATAAGATTAACAGCAAGTGAATACTGGATTTTTAGGCCGACTAGCGTAAGGTTAGGTGGTTTCAACCTGCACTATAGGGGTTTGGGTAGGAGGAATCGAAGCACTTGCACGACTTTGTACTCTATCGCGGCGCGAGATGGATGCAAACGTTATCTCCCGAAGTGCTTTCTGCTGAAAACAGTCATATGCTCAGAAATAGATTAAGAAAAATAAATTTGCTCTAACTGTTGGGTCTAGAGGACACTTATTAAGACTTTAATGTATTCGCATTTTCAACTATCTATTTCTTCTTGAAGAGTAAATCATCTCAGAAGACTTCCTGTCCTCCATGACCTGCGAAGATGAAAAGTGATAATGAAACGAAAAATGATAATAACGCTAACAATTAATGACAAAATTGTTTCACACGCTACATGTCAAAGTGCGTCCTATTATCTCATTTTTTTCTGTTTTATGCCGGATGCTATAAGGCTAGGAAACTCCTTTCTGGGCAGCTCTGTAATCACTGCCTCTCCACTCTCGATCGCCTTGGCGATTGCCATCTGTCTTTTTACAACTAACTGCAGTGGTTTGAGGTTCGAGCGAATAGTGAGCGTTTTTTCCGCCCACTCATAATGTTGGAGCCACCAATGGCATCAATAAAAGCATACTATCTTTCACTTCATTCCATTCCAATAATATTTAGATGCATGTATGACATCTAGTGTGTGAAGCACCTTGATTGAACGGTGTCAGTCTTGACGGCTTTTCTGTGTTTCTTTGTATTGTTTCTCTGTTAGGCTTTCTTAATGGCGCACGTTTGTGCATAATAAATAAATAAATAAATAAATACCTAACAAGAGGCGTGCTTGCTGATTGCTAAGATCTGTTTTTTTCTTAGAACGTATGCAAAACTCTGGCAAAACTCTTCCCTCCTACCAATTATCAACAGCTCATCCCTAGAGAAGATCGAAAAGCGTTTTTCCAAACGGTCTCCTGTCGGATGCAAGGCCCGATTCAGACCGTTAATTTGAAAGGGAAGATATGGCCCTCCGAACAATGCGTCTATAGGTTCCACCCCTGTAGTACTGGTGCCGTAATTCTCCCGGTGTGTGTGGTGTCGTGTGCGTGTTTGGTTGTGTATATATAAATATAAGTGTGTG